GTTTTTATCTCAGTAATACTCTACTTACTGTATTTACATTTGAATTCCATGTCATAAGAATAAACGAAATCCATGATATTTTGGTTAACTCAGTGTATTTATAAAATGAAAAGTCCTATCAAAATACTTTTCACTGGAAAAAATAAATAGAACAGACAATGGATCTACTCAAAGCACACATTCACTTTGGTAGACTTCAGTGTAGGACAGTTCATGACAAGCACATTTGTCCTTATACCTGGGAGACTCTTAAATTACAAAGTTTAGCTGGCAGAACAAAGTACATTTTTGTGTGTGAAAGCATTGATACTTTAATACTTTAATTTAATGCTATATATATGAATATGAATATATATGAATCATCATACACAAATTTATTCCAACCCAAACTATCTTGGAGATCTATTTTAGCTTCCTAGTTAGGCCCACTCCACGTGGTCACCTTTAATCAAGATGGCAGTGAAATCCTGCGGCATCCATTTTTTTTTAACTCTAGCCAAATGGCAACAAGCCATGTGACTGACTAAAAAATGGTGGCAATCCAAATTGGAAACACGTCATACATTTAAATTCCTTTAAAATTAACCATGCATAGATTTTAAATAATTAATTTCCAATGTTATTAGTTTTCAATTTTTAACTAGTTTTGATTTTAACAGATTTTAAACCATATTTAGCAATATAAATTTATAAATCTCAAGATGCATAGTGTTTACATAAACCAAGTCTAAACCTTTTTTGGCTGTCCTGCTTTGTTTCTTCTCCTCGTCACTGTGTTGGGGCTCAGACAGTGCAGCGTAGAGGAAGCTTATCAGCACACCTGAGTCTAGTGGTGGAAGAGCCAAAACCAACTCTAGAGCCAGCTCTTCAATAAAAAGCAGCATAAAACAGTTTTAGCATTATCTACATCAAAGACATCTGGATTCCTGCTAATACAAACCCAGCGACCAGAGCTCAGAGATAAGTTCTAAGCCATGCCCATAATGGCAGCCATAGCAGCCGTGGGTGTGAACTAGCTGCTGTTGGTCCAGAGACAGCAAAACTTTTCAAACCATTTCTGTCTCAGCTCCCTGCTTACAACAAAACTTATGAGCACATAAGAAAACACAGACAAACTTTCAACAAAACAAGCATACACCGTTTTCTTGAGAAATAGACAAAACTTTTTTTAACAAGACAAACAAAACTTTTTAACCAGAATTAATCTAAGGGGCTGGAGAGATGTCTCAGAGGTTAAGAACACTGGCTGCTCTTCCAGAGGTCCTGGGTTCAATTCCCAGCAATCATATGTTGGCTCACAACCATCTATAATGGGAGCTGGCGCACTCTTCTGGCATGCAGGCATACAGGCAGGCAGAACACTGTATATTATTTATTTAATAATAGATAAGCAAGTAAGTAAGTAAGTAAATAAATAAATAAAATCTTTAGCGTCCTTCCCCAAAGAAAACCATAATTAACTTAATGTGGTAAAATATTTAGCTTATTTTATGTTTTATTTCTTTTTCAAATTTAATATTTACAGGTTTGAGAAGCCTCACCAAACATAGTTCACATCCTCTCTGACCTTCTACACCTTTCTATATATCTTCAGTCCATTTCTCTGATTTCTTTTTTATTTTTAATTTTTATTTTTATTTATTTATTTATTTATTTTTGAGACAGGGTTTCTCTGTAGCTTTGGAGCCTGTCCTGGAACTCGCTCTGTAGACCAGGGTGGCCTCGAACTCACAGAGATCCGCCTGCCTCTGCCTCCCAAGTGCTGGGATTAAAGGCGTGCGCCACCACCGCCCGGCGAACATTTATACTTTAGATAAATTTCTCTTTCCCTTTCCCTCTCTTTATTATTTCAGTGTTCTGCCTTCTTTCTTGCTTTCCAGTTAACATAAAAGCTTTTATCAAAAACTTTGTTGTGGTTTCTCTCAAGAAACTAGCCCAGAGCCACAGAACCAAACCTGTTTGGCCAGAAATCAAGTGGGCAGCCCCCAGCGCAGGCTGTGGGGATCCCACCACCAGCATGGTAGGGGCAGCACTCAGGGCAGGCTGTGGGGATCCCACCACCAGCATGGTAGGGGCAGCACTCAGGGCAGGCTGTGGGGATCCCGTCCACCAGCATCGTAGAGGCAGCGCACACCATGGCATCAAGATTGTTAACGTCTCAGACATAGCAGACATTCATTAACCCCAGATTCTAGGTTCTGCATTTGAGCAGTTTATTATCTGCATGCAGTCAACTTCCTGCTGCCCTGTTCCTGTCCCCTGCAAGGCTGGTAGCTAGCTGCAGGGCAGAGAGTAAGAGAATAGCAAAAGGAGACAGACCTTGCCATGTCTCTCTTTTAGGAAAATGAAGGTGGTTAGTAAAAGGGACAAAGGGCAGAGAGCAAGAGACAAAAACAGGAGATAGAGGACAAAGGAGAAGGGGAAGGGAGCAAGGGAGAGGGGGAAGAGATATTTGTCTCAGGGGAAGTTGGGGAACATGATCATTATATGTTGTAGACCAGTTTCAACAAAAACACCTCTTACCAGGGTAGGAACATGGGGCATTAGAAATGTAAGTAAAGAATATGAAGATGCGTGAAAATAATAAAAACAGAGACTATAGAAAGTACCGGGAGGGGGCTGGAGAGATGGCTCAGTGGTTAAGAACATTGCCTGCTCTTCCAAAGGTCCTGAGTTCAATTCCCGGCAACCACATGGTGGCTCACAACCATCTGTAATGATGTCTGGCGCCCTCTTCTGGCCTGCAGACATACACACAGACAGAATATTGTATACATCATAGATAAATAAATCCCTTAGTTGCCGAGTCTTTAAAAAAAAAAAAGAAAGAAAGAAAGAAAGAAAGAAAGAAAGAAAGAAAGAAAGTACCGGGAGGGCATTGCAGTGAATACTGAAATCATCTGTGTTTATTTTTCCATGCGTTTTTTATACAAATGGGTGGAGAATGTAACAAAAGACTTTATGTTACATTTTTGATACAAAGGACAATGCAAACAGTTAATTGCTTTAGCACTTTGAGACATCAAATCATTAGCATTCTGTTGTTTAGTCAGTGAAGCTGCTCTAGGCTACCTATCCTGAAGGCATCAACTCATTAGGTGACCTCATAGTTACCAAAGAAGGAGCAGAAGTACATTTGCATGTCCTGACCACCTGTCAGGATTGGATAGATCTACTTGTATGAACTATCTTAACGTCAAAAGAATTAAGTAGCTGGGTGGTGGTAGTACAAACCTTTAATCCCAGCACTCGGGAGGCAGAGGCAGGTGGATCTCTGTGAGTTCTAGGCCAGCCTGGTCTACAAGGGCTAGTTGCAGGTCAGGCTCCAAAGCAACACAGAGAAGCCCTGTCTCAAAAAACAAAAACCCCAACCCAAATGAAACCAAACCAAACCGAAACAACAGAAGAATCAAGTAATCACATCCTGAGTTGGGAGCTGCAACTTCATTTGTTGGCCACTTTGAGCAACCTCCAACTCTCTGACTGGCAGACAAGTTGGAAATAGGCTCCCATTTTTGGGCCTCCACAATGGCGATGATGATAACGAGAAAGGGTTGCCTTTGAGTAGAGAGGAGACAGTTGCTGCACACAGGCAAACTGCACATTATATAGGTGAAAGGAGAAACCCTGTGTCAAGATGAGGTGTTTAGTTTTAACTGGACAAGTTAATCAGGTGAGGCAAAGGGGGCTTTTTGTTTGTTTGTTTCCTGAGACAGGGCTTCTTTGTAGCTTTGGAGCCTGTCCTGGAAATCGTTCTGTAGACCAGGCTGGCTTTGAACTCACAGAAATCTTCCTGTCTCTACCTCCCGAGTGCTAGGATTAAAGGTGTGCGCCACCAATGCTGGGCCTAAAGGAGGCTTTTGATTGCTAGATATTTTGATAGCTTCACCTTGGTAGTCAGCCTCAGGAGGAGGAAGTGGCCAAATAAGGGCATAGACCTTAGTGGCTAGCTTTAGGAATGCAATGCAATGGTTTGTTGTAAGGCAGAGGGAATAGAGGAGAAATGCCAGGCCTGCCAGAGCTATGTTTGCCATGTTCAAGCTGGTTAGAGTCCTTTTACCATCCCACTGGGGTATGGATTTGAGAGTACTTGATTGAGGCCACAGTGGGCAAAACAGGAAAGAGGAAGTGATGCATTTATAGGATGACTATGAACAAGACCTGCAGGGAGCGAGGGAATGTAAAGACTCTGGGACAGGAGAATGCCTGTGGTTAGAGGGTCCACCGGAAACCAGTGTAGCCAGAGCAGAGTAAGGGAGGGCAAGGAGAAGTATCAGGGCACGGCCTTGGAAATGTCCCATGTGTATTTATTGGTACAGTTCTGTTTCAGACAATGTGCTGGAGTGTTAAGTAAAACCAGGCCACTTCCTATTTTTTTTTTTTTTTTTTAAGACTCGGTTTTATGTATTCCAGGCTGGCCTTGAACTCCTCCCTTGCCTCTGCTGGGATCAAGCCTACACTATCACCCCCGGCTTAAAGAAAGCCAGGGCTTGTGCACACAGCCCTGTGCTGGGGTCCATAGCTAGCCCACACTCTGGGCACTCTGGGCACTCCTCAGAGCTGTACCTGAGGCTGGGTTGTGATGAGAACCAAGTTCTGACAGCCTATGGAAGCAACAACACAGCCATATCTCGGCCTGACTTATGAGAAATGACTGCTAGCCCTCCCCACCAGGGGTGACTAAACCCCACCGCGCTGTGGCTCTTTCTTTCCTGTCCCCATTGGCAACTGAATTTGGTTTATTTGCTTTTCCTGCAGTGACGTGGGCAGAACTCCAGCCAGCCTTAGGGATGGCTGTGGATAATATATTCTTTTCAAGTACAGATGTTTTTATTATTATTCAAATCTTTAAAATGTCAGTCTATTGAACTTGGAAGTTGAATGTCACAGGCTGTGGAGCCAGGTTTTTTTTTTTTTCTCCCTTTCCTCCCTGCTTTCCTCTCCTGCACAGTCTGTGGGGACGTGATGTCACTGTGTGTTTGTGCTCGCTGTGTCTAACCTCAGCAGTATTGACACCTGTGGCTGGATCCTTCCTGTGGGGCTGTTTTGAGCTTCATAAAAACATTTTCTTTTCAGAAAAAAATGTATCCCAGACTGACTTTGAACTTGCTCTATAGTTGAGGATGGTCTTGAACTCCTGGTCCCCCTGTCTTCTCCTCCCCAATGTCTCAATGCTGGTATTGAAATGTGCACCACCAGCTCAGGGCTTCAGCGTACTAGGCAAGTGCTCTGCCAACCATGTGATATTCCCAGCCCTTCCCACAATGCTGTAGGTGTGTGATGCCACTCCTGGTGTTTGTGGTGCTGGGGATCGAACACACAGGGTTCTTCCCTATACAGGATATTCATATACATCCCAAGGTTGCCTTGGCTTGTAACACGCCTGCTTCGGTCTCCTGGCTGCTTGGATCACAGGCGTGAGTTACCACACTCATGCTAGCAGCCTCTTTGAGCTCTACAGATGCCAGAAACATGCTCCCTTTTCCCAAGCTGCTCCCACACAATGTCTCCAGACATTGCCTAATGTCCTCGGGAGACATGCCTGCTCCTTTTAAACCACTGCTCTGCTCCTTTCTGCATGCTCCATTAACTCAGTCTCTCTCAGTAATCACTGGCTGAATTTTCGTCTCAGGTGCCAGGTCCTTGCTCCATCACCCGGGGTTTTCCTCTCATCTGTGTTGTGCCCTCAGCCTGTCCAGGCTGTGATTAATCCCAAAGATGTGAGGAGGACGACCATCAAACCAAATCATCAGGGCCAAATTAATTAAAACAAGCTTTTTTTAAAATTCATGTACATGGGCTCATCCCTCTAGGGCGGGGTTCGAGAGGTCAGCATTAGATGGAGGAAGACAAGGTTTCTATAGCTCAGGGATATGGAGTTTCCAAATGGGGGATTTGATGAGCAAAATAGGTGGGATTACAGGATCAGAACATGAGCATAACTAGTTAGTCCCTCCCGAGACAAAGGCATGGTTGCAAGAAGGGCATAACAAGGTTGTCCTAGTCATAACAAGGTAGTCCTAGTCATAACAAGATGGTCCTAGCCATAACAAGGTAGTCCTAGTCATAACAAGGTAGTCTTAGTCATAACAAGGTGGTCCTAGCCATAACAAGGTAGTCCTAGTCATAACAAGGTGGTCCTAGTCATAACAAGGTGGTCCTAGTCATAACAAGGTTGTCCTAGCCATAACAAGGTGGTCCTAGTCATGACAAGGTAGTCCTAGTCATAACAAGGTGGTCCTAGCCATAACAAGGTAGTCCTAGCCATAACAAGGTAGTCCTAGTCATAACAAGGTAGTCTTAGTCATAACAAGGTGGTCCTAGCCATAACAAGGTAGTCCTAGCCATAACAAGGTAGTCCTAGTCATAACAAGGTGGTCCTAGTCATAACAAGGTAGTCTTAGCCATAACAAGGTGGTCCTAGCCATAACAAGGTAGTCCTAGTCATGAGAAGGTGGTCCTAGTCATGACAAGGTAGTCCTAGTCATAACAAGTTGGTCCTAGTCATAACAAGTTGGTCCAAGTCATAACAAGGTAGTCCTAGTCATAACAAGTTGGTCCTAGTCATAACAAGTTGGTCCAAGTCATAACAAGGTAGTCCTAGTCATAACAAGTTGGTCCAAGTCATAACAAGGTAGTCCTAGTCATAACAAGGTAGTCCTAGTAGTAACAAGGTGATCATTAAGGCCAGCTGGTTGCTCAGTCCCCAGTTTTAATAAGCAGGGTGTCCTGGAGGTGGGGAGAAGCTCCCTCATCCTCACTGTTCTCCCTCTGAAACCCTTCAGTGGCAGGCCCACACTTTGGAGGGAGCTACAGTCAGTGTAGAAGGAGGCAGAGTGGCAGGACAGAAAGAGGTCTCCTGTGAAGATGGACACACCTAACTTTGAATCTAGAATTCATCAGTACTTTACTTCTCTGAGCCTGAGCCTGTTTCCTCTTCTTTGAAACAGGATGTTCCCTGCCCTGCCCCAGATTTTTCTTTTTAAAAACCATTCTTTCTTAAAAAAATAAAAGAAGAAGAAGGAGAAGAAGAAGAACAGAAGGAGAAGGAGGAGGAGGAGGAGGAGGAGGAGGAGGAGGAGGAGGAGGAGGAGGAGGAGGAGGAGGAGGAGGAGGAGGAGGAGAAGAAGAAGAAGAAGAAGAAGAAGAAGAAGAAGAAGAAGAAGAAGAAGAAGAAGAAGAAGAAGAAGAAGAAGAAAGTTGTAGGCATGGCGGTGGTGGTGCACGCTGCACACCTTTAATCCCAGCACTCAGGAGGCAAAGGTCGGTAGATCTCTGTGAATTTGAGAACAGCCTGGTCTACAGAGAGAATTCTGTAGTCCCAGGATAACCAGAGTTGCACAGAGAAACCCCGTCTCCCTGCTCCTCCCCCAAAGAAAGAAAGGAAGAAAAAAAGTTGCACATACATAGAATTCTCTCTTTGAAATGGTGTAGGTCAGTGTCGATTGCGTTGGGTGGGTTACTCAGTCTAGGGGTTTGTAACCCACCCTGCAATCAGTTATTCCAGGGTCTCGAAGGGGCACTACCTGGAAGGGAATGAGCTAGGACAGAAGAATGAGGCCAAGCAGATTTGTCAAAGCCCCCTTTATTAGGATCATGGTTGCTGTTTATATAGCCCCTGAATGAGGTTGCCGCATGTTCCAGTCACGTGGTTCAGGTTCGTCACGTAGGCCAAAAAGTCACGAGTTGCCACACCTGGTTCCCTGGATAGCTGGAATGTGAGGCACGTTCCCTAACAGATAACAGTTAATTGGGTGTGGGGCAGGTTCTGTCAATAGAATATAATTATGGGTGTGGGGTTCCCTGCAGACTCCCCAGGGTGATGGTTCCTGTATGATTTTTAGGGGGGAAGTGGCTCGTGACAGGTCAGTTCATTTAGACTGTTTTGCTGTGTTAAACTGCTAGTTGAAAAGCGTGTGGTAAAAATGCACATTGCCATTTCTATTATTTATTGATTTATTGACTGTCTTGCCCTGTAACCCTGTCAGATCTAGAAATTGCCTTGTTGCTCAGGCTGTCCTTGAACTTTTGGTGATTCTTCCTGAGTGCTGGGATTACAGGCATCTACAACCATGCCCAATCCAAACCCTCACTAAAAAGTTATTTATTTATTTGTGTGTGTGCATGTGTGCTCACACACGTGTGCTGCCAGAATGTGTTGAAGTCTAAGGACACCTTGTCACGTTGGTTTCCTCCGTCCCACCATGTGGAATTTGGAGATCGACTCAGGTTGACAGGTTTGGGGGCAAGCGCCTTGACCCGATGAGCCATCTTGCTGGCTCAGCATCTGCACCACGATCATTACTAGTTGTAGAAATAAGAGCGGCAGCGGGGCTGCGTCCCCAACACCCCGGCCGCTTGGCTAGCTCATGCCCGAAATAACAACACACAAACTGTATTCATTTAAGAACTGCTTGGCCCATGAACTCTAGCCCTTACAGGCTAATTCTCGCACCTGGACTAGCCCATTTCTAATAATGTGTGTAAGCACCCCAAGGTGCGCTTACCGGGAAGATTCTAGCCTATGTCCATTCTGGGTTCGGAGCTGAGAGGAGCTTCATTCCATGCATCTGCCCGGGAGATCGGAGCATGGCGTCTCTCAGGAAGCAGAGCAGAGTCTGACCTCACTTCCTCTTCCGCCCAGCATCCTATTCTGTTTATTCCACCCACCTATGTTCTAAGCTATGAGGCCAAGCAGTTGGTTTATTATTTAACCAATGAAATCAACAGATTGATATATGACACTCCCACATCAACTGGTCAGTGAGACTCTTCCCATAGGCAGAGTCTCTGCTACCTGTTTAGGAGTTTGCATGCCTCAGTGGCACCACTAGCCTCCTCTGCAATACCTTTTCCCAGATTAGTGGGAATGTGGCATTTTTCAACAGTTGAACCTTATGCTGTTTTCTGTGGAAAATGCTCTGAGCCTTCCGCTTTAGGGATATTGGTAGGAGCTCATGTCAGATACCCTTTTATTAAAATCCTTAAAGTAAATTCCACTGGCAAGCGTCACTGTGTACGACGGGACCTGAAGAGTTAGGCGGCTTCAACATTTGAAAAGCAGCTAAAGTGTGGAGGAAACAGCCGAGTCCTGAAAGTGCTCTTCCGCTCTTCTTGGAGCTGTGGCATGCGCGCCAATAAAGAAAATGACACACACAGACACACACGACATAAGTATACAAATATATATATATATATACGTATACATTAAAGAGTAGCGAATAACTTAGGTATTGGACAGCTGTCTGTTAGGCACTCGTGGGAATATGTCTGAAAACTCAAATGTTTTGTCATGTTTATTTGAAACTGGGTCTTACTCTGCAGCCAGGGAGCTTGAATGTGCAAATACAATTCCTTCCGTTACAGGAATGTCCCATCACACTTGACAAAGTAGTTGTCCTTATTTTTTAAAACGTATTTATTATTATATTTATTTTTGAGACTAGTCTCACGGTTTAGCCCCGGCTGGGCTTGTCTCTGGGGAATTAAGGGTGTGCATCACCAAGACCAGCAATTGTCTTGTTTGTGCAATGCTGGTGGTTGCATGCGGGACCTTGTGTGTGTTAGACGACATTCTACCTTGAAGCTGCATCTCGGGATGGTTTTGGAAAAGTTTTCGTGGGAATTTGTTTCTTAGAAAGGGACGCGAGCAGAGCCAGGAGCCACCATGCAGTTCACCTGGAAGTTCTCACATTCCTGCCGCTTTGGTTTCTCAGCCGTTCTGAACTCAACCAGCAGGGGGAACCAGAATACCGCGTTCCTCCGGGTGCCGGGTACCAAAGGCACCTCTGTGCTGCTGCTTGCCAAGAAATGGGAGATGACCTCCGGGTGTCTTTTCTGTTGTTCAAACCCGTTCTTTTCTGCAGAGAAAGGTAAGGGGATGAACTGCTTGGAGCTAACTGGCAGCCAGCAACTGAGGCGTGTCACCCCGCTTCAGCAGGTGGAAGAGAATGAAAGATCGCATTTCCGACATTCGTTGGCTTCAGAGTGTTTGCATTACATGCGTGTTTCTACAGAAGAATTAACCAGAGTGCGAAAAGGCCAGTGCTGTTTCTCCTTAAAGAAAGACAAGAGAGCAGACAAGATGACACATTGAGCAAACGCAGCTGCCACCAAACCTGATGGATTTACAAGATATAGGGAGAGAACTGATTCCCAGGGCTGTACTCTGCAGCCATTGACCCTCTCCGCAAATAAACAATTTTTTTTTTTTTAAAGGGAGAAATGGGTTAGGAACCTTTGGTGTTTTGAACCATAATGGGCCCCACAGGCTCATATATTTGAATGTTTGGTCTGGTCTCCAGTTAGCAGAACTGTTTGAAAATTGGTGTGTGTGTGGCCTTGTTGGAGGAAGTGTGTCACTGGGGGTGGGTTTTGAGGTTTCAAAAAGCCAGGCCAGGTCCAGTCTCTGTCTCTCTGTCTCTCTCTCTCTGTCACTCTGTCTCTCTGAAACTGCGGATCAGATGTGAACTCTTAGCTGCTTTTTCAGCACCATGCCTGCCTGCCTGCCACATGTTCCTCCATGATGGTCATGGACTTGCTTTCTGAAACTGTAAACAAGCTCCCCAGTTAAATGCTTTCTTTAAAAAAGTTGAATTGGTTATGGTGTCTCTTCATAGTAATAGAGCAAAAACCAAGACAGGGCTGTTTTTTTTTAAATAAGTAAATATAATGGTGAAGAATCTGCATGACTAGACACATTTTTAAAATATAAATTATTTCTCTTTTTTTAAATTATTTTTTAAATGATATGTTTATATTTTATGTGCATTATTGTTCTGCCTGCATGTATGTCTGCATGCCAGAAGAGGGCACCAAATCTCATTACGGATGACTGTGAGCCACCACCATGAGGTTGCTGGGAATTGAACTCAGGACCTTTGAAAGAGCAGCCAATGCTCTTAATCACTGAGCCATCCTCTCCAGCGTGGAATTAGATTTTTTTTTTTTAAAAAAAACTTTAACATAGCTATAATGAGCTTAATAGTCAAACACACTGTGTCCTGGGAGGGGATTTCTGGAGTCAGCCAGACCTAAGTTCAAATCCCAGGTTTGGACTTGCCAGATGTCTGACTAGCCATGGGCAAGGCACTTCACTCCTCTATCCATAGTCTCTCTTAAAAAAGCAGGCTAATCATCCCTATTCTAGAATTGTTGAAGGTGTGTGCACTACAGAGATGTTGAGAAGAATCCCTGGCTCCTGGCGGGTGATTAGTATTTGATAGTTCTCTACTCCTTTTTGTTGGTCTGGGGAACTTCCTGGGGACAGGAACTATATATGTTTCTTTGCACCTCAGAACACAAATCTACCCCTACCTAGACAACATAGTGGTACATACCATTAATCCCAGCACTCGAGAGGCAGAGGCAGGTGGATCTCTGTGAGTTAGAGGCCAACCTGGTCTACAGAATTAGTTTCAGGACAGACAGGGCTACACAGAGAAACCCTGTCTCAAAACAACAACAACGCCCCAAATGCACCCCTAGTTCATGCCACACCCTGAAGATAGATCCAGAAGTGAGCTCCTGACAGGATCAGTGTTTGGGGGGTAGTGAGGGGCTAAGGCAGTCTTTCCCTACCTGTCTTAGCTCAGGTGCATCTGTCAATTAAAAATGCCCCTAGCTTTTGGAAACCTATCTGAAAAGTTACTGTACCCCATAAGCATCTCCACTGATGCAACAACCAAATTGGACCAAATCAAACGGAATTAGAAAAATCCCAGCTTTAACCAGTACAATGCTCCCAGATGATTTTCCAGCCCCCCCCAGAGGGGAGATGGGAAAAAGAGACTGGAAAACCACACGTCTGTTTTCTGGGGGGCAGTTTAAATACCCTGTGGTAGTGGTCTTGAGCATCTCTGGGGGAGGGGTCATCGCTTGGCCAGCTTTCTGAGATGCAGCAGGGTTTGGAGAGAGATGGGGGAGGGGGCTTGGGGTGGAGCTTCTGCCCGAACACTATCCTTACATAAACACAA